GAGAAACAATCAAAAGTACCCCGAGCGCCGCTGTATAAGAATAAATGAATGGCTCATTGTAAAGGTAAAAATGACGTATTAATAAAAATAGGTCCATTTGTCATCGAGAAATTGGAAAACTTTCGCTTTGGTTTTTAGTGAAGGTCGACAAGATTTCTAGAGGACAGACATCTAGTCATCGCGCCGGGGTGGATGCATAGTGACGATGAAAGCGGGAGCGCGCAATTTATTCTTTGACTGGAAATCATCATCATCATCATCATCATTATTGTTGTGTGCGCCCGTTTATTTAAAAAAACCTTGTTTAGAATAATGTCAAAAATGATAAACGTGATCTGATGCCGATAGATTGGACGGTGACCGAAAAAAATAAGGTAGTACTTCCCATTCATCGTTTTGTAATGTTCATTCGGCCGCGAGAAACTATTTGGTGAATGGAAAATATATGTATCTTATTCAGGTATATTGTCAATGGGCTTTCAAAAGATTCGACCAGGAAATCTCTGTAGTAAGTTAATAGCGATCAGTGAAAAACGCGGATATCCGTTGTATTTAATATTTATTTGTCACCGTTACACATTAGTAAATTTCCAACTATTCTGTGCAACAAAAAAAAAAAATTATAGTGGATGCATTTTTTTTTACTGTCAAAGAAAGTAACAAATGTTTTTGGTTGATTGAATGATTGAAATTAAGGCCACGAGGTTTAACTTGTTTGTCAAAAAATTATTCGAGTATAATGAACTATCAAAGTCAGCACATAATTCAAAATAATTTTTATAAAAAAGTTGGCATGTTGGATCCTAAAAGAACAATATATACGAGATTATCATAACATCTAAAGATATCACTGATAGATTCAATACTTATCCGATTTGATACAAAAGTAAAGCATACATTTATGGTTTGAACGACAACTTTCAATTAGGTTAAAGAGTAAGAGTTGTAACGCAACACTGATAATATGCTGTCAACACTTGATATTAAATAATAGAACTTGTAAATATACATTATGTTATTTTATCTTAGTTTACGATCTATACATGCAATGTAACACGATCAAATAAACGTTTTTACAGTTATTAGTATACAAATAATGGGAAGAACGAAAAAGTGACTTTATTGAATGAACAGTAAAATTTATAAGAAGTATATAGATAAAAGTGTATAGGCCTAATTAAATCATTTTTGCAATGAGTTTACCAAACATATCATTAGTTTACCTTACAAAATCACAGAAATCTAAAATGATACAACAAATTATTTAAGTTTCGAACCTTTGAAAAATATTTTTCTTTAAATAGGCGCTATTGCGCAACATGGTAGATCATGCATGACAAGCAAACTAATTGTTCGTTTTTTGTGTTCAAAATGTGATATTAAGTGAACAAGCTTGAACATTTACTAATAATTATAGAAAAAGTATTTTTTCTCTTACAGAAATGAAAAGATTTACTAAACAATACTCTCATAGCGAATTCAAAGTAAAACGAAAAGATCTAAATTGAATTGATGCTTTTTTTTTTAAATATATATTTTAAAAAACTAAATTCGTTTTTAAGAAATTTTCCTGTTATTTCAATTTATTAAGTAATGTTTTCTAAAAAAATCGATAGCTGATAGCATTTTTTAAATTTTCTACTAATTATTTCCACAAATTTTTGATGATATTTAATGGTTTTTCGGTTTTGACATTCGCCTACATTGAGAGACACCTCAAAGACTTCAAAATGCAAATCCGGTATTGCATTGTTACATAATATCGGGTAGGTCTTTATACTGGTGTTAGAATTCCATATTGGGACCGCTTTCGTTTTCATTTCTTGAATTTTGACATCGAATGAATTGTTTAGTGCTTTGCGAACATTTGTAGAGGTGTCAACAGCAAACCAATACATAAAATATTCATCAAACACCTTTGCATGTTTTTATTAAAAAATTAAATCATTAATTGTATTCTACTGCACAAATCTACTTTCTATACTAAAAAGTGATTTCGCTTGTACATATTACAATATAATAAAAATAAAAATCTTAAAACGGCACAAGACATTAAAATAGAATAGTTAATAGAGAAAAACTTTCTGGGTACGGTTTACTGATTTTAAACATTATGAACATAATTAAACAGTGTGTAAATAACATACTGTATAAAATACTTGAGTATACAGTCGTTATGAACAATTTTTAATGATAAATGTTTATAATTATACCAAAACGTACCCAATAGAGTTGAGCGCACATGTAGAGCATAGGAATAGATAGACGGCATAGTTTCGTTTTTCTTGCTTCGTTCCTAAAATATATCAATCAAAATTTTTATGTAAAATGTTTACTCTCAATGTTTCAAGTTTAAATTCTAATTAGTTTACCGGCAATTACACTATAGTAATTACATTTGTTATGTTTATTAATTAGTAGTCAATACTTAAAATACTTGTTTTGGTTCAAAATTAAAAAGACTTGAAAAATAATCTTAAACATTAATTTTAAATTACTTATAATAATAAAATATTAATTTATACATTTTTCGTTCTTAATAATCTGTTGACAATTTTTGACATTAGTCATATATTACATTAATTATAAATTAATACGTATTGTTCTTAAGACACTCGTATAGAAAATTGAAATCTAACTCACTTTCAACGTTGAGGTAGGAAATCGTATAATTAAAAATGAAAAAAAACACCTTACAGAACTTAATAATACACCGGTTTAGACGTAGGCGTTACTGAAAAAATGTGTAGGTGGATTTTGTGCCTACAGCGTTTTTTCGTGTCGGTATTCAACAAATATAGTATTTAGACTACAATCTGTAACTGGCGAGAAATATACAACTTCATAACAAAGCGCAAATACAAATCATTGTCATGTTAAAAGTCACCTACGTTGATTTCGAAAGATGCGGTTGGCATTGTATTATAGAGCACTATAGATAGTTCGTAATATTGATAAATGTCAAAATTATAACTCTCATTTTGAAAATTCAATGGTGTAATTATGACAGTTGTGGGATAGTTGCAAGTGTCGAAACTCATTTATTATTGGTGCACCAAAAAAGTGCGTGAATTATAAAATTTCATTTCCAATATGTCAATAACTTTAGATTAAAAAATCTCTATATTTATAAATATGTATTTTCAGAATAAACTGTTAATAAATAAAATACTCACATGTATAATTTGAAAATTTAGAATTAAAATTAAATAAATTATTGATTTGTGATAATTAAACCATCTACAAAAATTTTAAAAAAAAACTATTTTTTCATTTCTTTATTTATTGTTTAAAATTTGGTATAGTTTTACAATAAATCAGTTTATATTGTGACAATTTTAAGATGTTTTTACACATTTTAGTAACGTTGTGGAATTCTAACACGTGTTTATATTGAGTAACGAATAAAAAAATTATTTTGTACCTATTATTAAAAATATTATGCAAATATTAGAAAATATACATGTGCGTTAAGTAAATATTTTAATTTAAAGCTTAAACTTTGAAATATAATAATTTATTTTGAATAAATTCATAAAAAAATTTATTTATTACATTTGTATACAAAATATGTCACGTTCTTCACAAATATATACGTTAACCGTTTGACTAAAAATATATATTTACTTTACGATAGGTGCCTATCATTACTGTTATTTACTGAATTTCTAGTTAAACTTAATGTACCACGGCTGACTATTCAAAGCATATTTTGTGTTCTTTAAAATCCGAGTTACTACGTTAACTTTACAATGTATAAATGTATAAATATAAAAACAATTCTCGCTGTGTAATACAAATATAAACACATTTGATTTAACTTCGGAGTTCTTATAAAACAATTTACTTAATTTAAATACTTAGTTTATAATTTCATTTTATAAATTACATTTAATAATATATGTGTTATATTTTAACAACATTATTTATATTTTCACTGCGATTCTAGTATAATTTTAAAATCATAAAAACAACTTTATTATTACTCGTTGGGTTGTGTTGGGTTATGGTAAATTTTTTTTGAGCAACTATATTATAATTGCTTTTATATAATATATATATTATTAATTATTAACTTACTAATAATAATTAAATAACTGAATAAATTCTTTTTAATCCTCTTGAGGGATATGATAAGGTTGAAATTTTAGTATTACAAAAATTGTATTCTAATCTTCTTTACAATTATGTATTTATGATCATATATTGCGTATTGCAATATTTATGTCTTTATAATATTTTAAGTGATATAAAATAGAAAAAAAAATTAAATATCTCAATAATGATGATTGAATAATTTTAATTAATTCTACATTAAACGGACAATCTACAAAATATGTGCCCGACTAATTTTTTTTTTGTAAAAATTATATACTACAATATTAATCCTGTGCAAATTTTTCTGCATGTAAATTTTAATGAAGATATTAATGAAAAATTACAATTCTACCCCTATTCGTCAATTTTTGACCCCTTTGAGGGTCTTGATTAAGGGTCACTTAAGCTTTACAAAATCGTTTGATTTATTATATAAAATAAAATACCGAATATCTGGTATCAAAATTTGAAAATTGAAATACCAGGACTATCCTTATATATGTATATATTGTTTTTATTGTATAAGTTGTTACGTTATTGCTGTATTCTATATTTTATAAGGATTTAAAACTGATTATCAGAAATTTATTATTTAAATGGTTGTGTACCAAAGTATTATTAAAGTTTCTTCAAATTAATAAATATAGAAAAACAAATTTGTTATAATATTACTCCTATTTTTTTTTTGTATGGGGGGGGGGAAGTGGGTTAATATAATAAGGATTCAAATTATTTTTTATTAAAGGCTTACTGAAAAATCTAGTTTTTATTTTGATACATGTCTCATATATTTTAATGTGAAATATTGTTTTATCTGTAATCATGTTTAATTTAATATCTATTTCATTTATATATACATTCTTAAATGTTAATATTAATACATTTATTATCATCATTTTTAGGCTTATATAAATCATGAAGGAGTGGAGATTGGTCGTGCTACTTTGCACGGCCTTGTTGTTCGTGCCAGTTGTTCGACCTCAAGAAAAATGGAGTCGACCAGAGATAGCTGACAAACGAGTTGATGACTGGGTTCCAATTACAGCTTCCTGTCCATCTTGTCGAAAAAATTTAGAGCCTAGTGAATCTAGTAGTGTTGACGAAATTGGGAGTTTATTAAATCCACCTGCACTGCCTGCAGCAGGAGCAAGAAGTCTTTTCAATTTTAATTCCCAACAAAATCAGTTCAAACGTGCGCCATCTGGAGAACCTTACGAAGTCACTCCACCTCCGCAATTTGCACAGTCACAGCAACAACAACAATTTTTCAGCCCTCAGCCTTTCCCTAAAATATCACAACCTGTACATTTCCCATTACCTTTCTTTGGTCAACAAAATCCATTTCAAAATAGATTCCAAGCTAGTTTTCAACCACAGTTTACTTTTTTGCCACAACAACAACCTCAACCTCAACCTATAGCCAAAGAAAATAAAGTTACATTCCCTGAAACTCCATTCAATCAACAACCCAATAAAGGTATGGTTCAGCTTGTATATGTACCTATTGAAGCTTTACAAAGACAAAAACCTAGATTCCAATCAGATAGACCTGTTTCACAACAGTCTACTTTAGATACAAAACCACAAGCATCATTCGACAGTGACAAGTTACGATTCCAAAGACCACCACTCCCAGTAGAGCAAACTAAAAACCGATTCCAATTAGGACAAGACCCTGGACGTTTTCAAGTACCTCCACAAACATTTGCTCCAGAGACAAATCGTTTCCCGACACCACCATCGGCGCCATCTTTTATACAAGACTCTGGACGTTTGCCTTCACCACCGGCTGAACAAAATGTTGGCCGTTTTTCTGCGCCCTTACCATCATTTGAACAGGGAATCAATACTTTTTCTCCGTCACAATCTTTTGAACAGAATACTGGAAATTTCATCCCACCATCTCAAATATTTAATCAAGAAAAACCAGCATTTATTACTCAAACAAAAGACTCTCGGCCACAACAGTTCTTGCCCCAAAATGAACAATCCACTTCACCTTTATCTTTTCAATTTTCTGAAGATGCTAGAAATCCTCCTTCTAATATCTTCCAATTTCATAGTCGATTCCAAAAACCACAAATACAAGAAGAAAATCCTAAAGAAACGCAATCTCAAGTACAACAAAAATTTGTACCTAATTTCGAGGATTCCTCAAAAGAGTCATCTCAAAACGTAGTTCCCGTGTTTGATAGTAGTCGTCCAACTCAAGAGGCTCCACAAAATGTTATTCCGAATTTTTTGAAAGATAAACCTAGAACAGAACAGTCACCACAATTTATACCTATTAACGACGATCAATCGTTGAGATCACAACAACAATTACCTGCTAATTTCCAAGATAGGCCACCTCAGGATACAGCACAGCAAACACTCGTTCCTAATTTCGAGTTTAGGCCAAGACCAGAAAATCAAGAATTCATACCAAATTTCCAAGATACAAGACTGAAGCAAGAATCTGTATCGCAAACTTTTTCACCAGGTTTTGAAGATATAAGACCAAAACCTAGACCAAAAGTACAAACTTCAACATTCCCTACACCGCCACAAATTTTCAGCTCTCCAAATTCAATAGAAGAAACATTTACACCTACTACATATCCTCCTGCCCATCAACCACCACTTTCTGTTTACATGGAAAAACGTCTAGATAACAAAGTAAATGAAGTACTTTCTATATTAAAAGATGCTAAGACAATTCCTGTACTAGATACAATTGGCGATCATTCACCAAAAGTATTTGTTGGTCCCTCTGATCTCGATGCGCCAAGAGGTTATGTAAAATTTGAGTTGCCTTATTTGTCTTCTCTCGACATTTCAAAAATTGAAACTATGGTTGATAGTTTACCTTTTTTCGTCGCACCACTTAATTTCAAACCACCAATTGGTTATTCTAAAATACCATTCCCTCCTCCTCATATAGGATCAGTAGTTGTGTCTTCTAAATCACCTGCTGTCGTAACAACATCCACAGAATTTGTGCCCTTCACTCTTACGCCTCAGTTGCCTACGGAAGTTAATTCGTTAAAACCGATTTCTAGTACCCAACGAGAGTTTGCACCAATAGAAAGAGTAAAGCCAACTACAACTGTTATATCTCCTACAAAAAGAAATCGTCAAAGGAAACCTATTCATAGAGGCTCGTTGACTAGTTTTAGTACAACTACACCCTTAAATGACGTACCAGAGTCTCAAAGAGATCAGTTCACAACTCTTTCTGAATTACAGCGATTACCTGAAAATATTCAATCAACAGTACAATATCAGTTTGTAGAAAATACGCCAACGCCTATTGAACATCAATTCTCTGATTTCCCAAAGAAGTCAATCGAACAACAACAACAATCTGTATTTGAATCTTCACCAACGCCAGTTCAGAAATTTGAAACAAATCAACCCCAGTTCTTTTCGGAACAACAGGTTCCACAACAATTTTCAGACACCGTACCACAATTAAACCAACCACAATTTTTCGGTTATCAAGAACAGCCACAATCTATTGACCAATCACAAAAAAATCAACAAACCTCCTTGGAAAATCAACAACAACCAGTTCAACAGGAATTATTTGATAATGTTTCGCAATTTGTTACCGAAGAAACTTTAAAAACTCAATCAGTACCCGAAGTTAGTACTCAAGAGCCCGTTCAGCAACAGTTCCTACCAAGTACGACAGAGAAACAAGTTCATAAAAATTTTCAAAGTGTACAATCTCTTTCCCAGTATAATCCGCATAAAAACCAAGTGCAACACCCATCTACTACTGAGCAAGTACAAACAGCTTCCCCTATATCTCAAACTCCATCAGACGAACCTCAACCAGCCGTTTCTACGGGATTACCAAAATATAGACAACGTTTGTCATACTACGACAAAGTAATTTTATCTTCGACGGAATCTCCAGTTGAAAGTACTAGTATTCAAAATACTATTGAAACTAGTGAAAAACCAAGAGAACGTCAAAAATTAAGACCCAGACAAAGATTAACTACGACTAGACGTCCGTCATCTGAATCGAAACCGTCCGAAGAAAACTCTGAACATGTAACAGAATCTTCTTCTACACAAAGGTATAACCCTTTAAGAAGGCGCCGTCCAATAACTTCAACAGAAGCCTCCGAACCTGCAACTAGAAGTTCATTTAGGTCTAGAACCACTCAAGCAAATAGGCCAGATTTTGTACGATCAAGGTCAAGAAGACCATTAAGTACAACCACCACTACTACAACAACTACTGAAATCCCACGGACAGAACAATACGAGAATAGCAATGATGTTCAGACAAATGGACAAGACGAACAAAAAAAAATCGAAGAAGCGGCTTCATTTTGGAATGAACCTGTAACTATACAGCAAAGTCAAGGTTACGAATTAGGTTCGTATACATCTGATGGCTCTAAGTTTAGTAGCGGAGAACCTCCTTCAGATGAAGTTATAACAAAAGAAAAGCATAACGATAAAAAAGCTTATGACCCTAATAATGAGAAAAAAACACCTGGTAGGCGAGGCCATTGGGTGAGAGTTAAGGTAAAGAAACCGCAAGATAACTTAGATACAGCAGAATCACAAAATTCGTTGGGACCATTATCGGCAAATGCTATACATGAAATGATTACTAAGCCATCAGCTCCTGCTGAGAATAATTTTCCTTCATCAGCTATGTCTGAACTAACAACAACAACAACCACTAAAACTACTACTAGCCTTCCACCCACATCTTCAGAGTCCACTGCATTTACTACTGTTAGTCCACCATTAACTACAACTATGATGTCTGAGTACACAATGGAAGGTGTAACCGAATATCACCCAGCTGAAACAACCATGATTTTATCATCATCTACTAGTGCACCCATAAAAAATGTTGATGACGAACAAGATGAGGTATTCCAGCGGAATTTGGCTGATATGCTGGCTAAGTTTATTAATAATCCACAACAAGATCAGCATCAACTACAAGAAACAAGTATGGCGCCTACTATAGTCGAAGAAATTACTTCAGAAAGGTTGGACGAGATCGACATGGATACAACCGTACCTCCTACAACTACTGTCACGGAAATACTTAACAGCGATCAGATCACTTCTACTACAACTAAAGTATCCGTGGAGACTGAAATATGCTATAAGGGTAGGTGTGTGAAGAGTCAAAAAAACAAAAAAATTACCGACCTGTTACCCGAGCCATGAACAAAAATATAACAAATATTTTTCATAGTATTTAAACACTGGATAGTTTAATTATTTTAAGTAAAAATAAAGAAAATGTTTGTAAATAATATCATTGTATTGACATTAGTATGTCAAATAAATGTAAACTGAATCCTTGAAAGATTCAGGTTTGCGTTCGATATAAAGAAACAAATCATCTAAATTGGACTTCCAATACAAATTTGAATATACTGATGATATTCATGTGGAAATCTGTGCCAACATAAAAAAATGCGTATTAATTATTTTGTAAATATTATATCTATAGTAATATACATTAGTCAATTATGAATTATTTATTTGTTATTTTTACGCATGTTTAATTTATATAATTAAATAATTTTGTACTACACTGTTTAATAACAAAAACATTAATTAGATATTTTCTTGTCTATTACTTTTTTTTATGATCACGATACTTTGATTATTATTGTGTAGTTTGTAAAGCACTATTATTATCATATAAAAATTATATACGTTTTTAAGCGTATTTTATATCATATTTGTGTTTTCGACTATAATATTATGTATTTTACAATAAAGTATATTTGTACAGTTATTCTTTATTTAATTTTTAGATCCTTAATTGTTTATTAATAAACAATAGTTTTTAATTCTAAATAAATTAAAACTTGTAGACGTATATCTATTTTACTATATTTGATTATGAGATATCTTTGTTTCTTTTTCATAATTTCAAATTTGAAAAAAAAGCACTAAAATTTTTAATACAAAACATGATACAACCATATTGTAATCAAAGAAGCAATTACATTATGGTAGTGCACTTATTTGAAGCATGAACGTTATGACTTTCCTAAATTTACCTCTGTATATGAGTTATATTGCGTCTCTTGTCTTTAAGTATCAAAAAAATTATTACATTAAAACATAAATAATATCAGCATCATAGACTTAGTTAAAATTTTTTGTTGACCGAAATTGTTCGTGATCATGAATTTTCAAGTTCAATGTGCTTGATTTTTTAATCCGACAAAAGCGTCTTGAATAAATTAATATTTGTTCAGCGAAAGTGTGTTTATGCATCTTTAAAAAGCAAATGGATAGTAAATATATTAACATTCACTTGTAGTAATAATGCCAACTTGTTTTGATGTTTTGTTCGCTTTCACAGAAATCATATTAAATGTGTGTAAATTAAAGCTTTACACTTGCTCCCAAAAAAAAAAAAATGTTTATTATATAAAATTTAGAATTAGTATAAGTTAATAATACATTTCATTGCAAAATACATTAGTATAAATTTAAAATTATACTTTATAATTGACTTTAAAGAATTTTATTTTGTTATAAAATAAAATTAAATCTTTGATTTCCGTTGCCTATAGGAAATATTACAGAAAAAATAATATTATTAGATCATATTATTACACTATGATTCACATAGAAACTAATATTTTATTGTATACATTTAGAATTATATCATTCAATATTTTCTTCCCCTTGCTAAGTTGATTTATTAATAAGTGTTTGAGTTTTACAAATTTAATGTTTAATTTAAAAAATAAAGCTGTAAAAATTATTGATGTTGTTAATATTGAAGATTATTGTAATTTATTTCGTTATAATTTAATTATATAAGAGTAACAAAGATATCAAACTATTCAATTAAAACTAGTTCTAGTAACAAAGAGATTTGACGTTATCATTTTAAACATTTTTGGCATAGTTAATTATTTTTCATTTTTATTATTTCATTAAAAACAGTTGCACATGACAACACTATGAAATAAATTATCCGCAGGTTATAAAATATCTAATAATTTAGGAAATTACAAATATGATATAACATTTATGTATTAATGTATCAATTAAAATACTATATTGAATTTATATCATTGCAACATAATGGCTTTTAAGTAATTAGATTATAAAATTGTAGCCTGAAGATAATTCCTAAATATTAGAATTTTTAAACAACATTTTTTAATTTACCCGTAAGCATCGTTAAACCTTTTAATATTTGTCATAGACATATTTGCAAATTATTAGTAGATCATGTTTACTTAAAATTTTTGCAAGAAAACCGTGCAACTACAAAAAAAAACCAACTTCACGAGTTTTATTCGAAGTTTAATAAATTAAACATACCTTTCAGTGTATCATTTTTAATACAGCATCATAATTATAATCGATTTATTTCAATGAATATATTATGTTAAATAATTCAGTATTTATGTTCATATCAAATTATTTTTTAATCTAAAAAAAAATCTTATTAAGCATAATTAAAATATAGATATTTGTTCTAAACACCAATAGGGCTATAATTTTATTATTCAATATATTTTTAAATACACTTATATAATTTAGTATCAATAATTTTACTACAATATTTTTCCAAATTATATATTTGAGACTACCTTGAATTTTTATTCAAAATTGTTTACAAACTTTAATATGTCAAGTTACATAAAAGTATATTTAAGATATAATACACAATAATGGCGATAACTGCTAATGATGAGTCCTAATAAAAAAACAAATGATAACAAATAACTATTTTTAAAAGAATGGACACAAATAAAAATAAATTAAGTACCAATTTTACTTTTTTCCCTACTTTAAAAATTGTTTTACATTATTTTCTAAAATTTTCGTTGGAGTACGGTAACTATTAAGAGCTTAAGCATCTCCCAATATATGCCATTGCTTATGAGATGGAATGAATAATATTTTAACTAGAAGTTAATCATTAATCAGTTTTTAAATCTATATTTTAACTTATCGTTAAAATTCTAGTATTCGACTAATAAAAATATAAATTTCTAAATTATTTTTTTCATAGAATTAACAAAAAACTAGAGCTAACATTGAATACGTTATATAAATTTTAAAATTTTTTCCAACTTTCATGTTATATTTAACTTTTTATGAGTACTATTTTAAGTTTATAAAAAACATTTTTATGACTTTTTATAAAGTTTTTTTATTATATATATATTATATTTTTATTAATCAGTATTGTGTAATGACAATTATATTTTCACACACAATGTTTATTATATAATTTAATGTAAAAATTTTGGGTAAAATTTCAACATTGCTCTAAAGGAATAGATTTTATACTTATTTTTAAATAAATAAAGTTTCTATATTATTTTATTAAATTGTAATAATTAATCTATAATTTTTTTGTAATTCTTCTATTTATTAAAAAATATTATTTTTTGAGATAAAATGTATTAATAACTCTTTTTTTCACTAATTATAATTAAATATGATGCTATTGAATAATAAAATTTCTAAACTCAATAAATGTTGCAATTATTGTGTTATTTCAACTTAAAAAATCTGGTCAAACAGTTTTAATTTATTAATTTGCTCGTTAAATCTTACTCAATACTAACTAGATTCTTACTCCATCAATCAGGTAAGAGTACATTTTTATATTTTATTTTATTTCAGGTAATAACTCATTAAGCTTAGATTTCACTATTAATACTTAATTTTTAATCATTAATAGTTTTTCTAGATAAAATAAAATTGTTTATAACAACCATATACTGTAAGTTTTATTCGATAGAAAAAAAAGTACGCACTATATTCCGGATTACTTTATGAATCTTACTTGAATGAATCTTGGTACATAAATTAAAAAAAATTATGAAATGAAAAATAAATCTTATTTTAACTATTTTATAATATATATTATTATTATATATTTAATATATTTTTAGGAAAAATATCAATAAAACATTTATACGCTTATAATTTTTGATACAATTATCAATTTTTGTTGATTTTTTTCTTAAGAATTATTGTTTCTTACACTACGTTTAAATAATATTATTTATTACTGATTTTAAATTAAATTAAACAAATTTATTACTATTTTTTTAATTTTGAATAGCCAATTTTTACTCCTTTCTTACAAATAATTTTTATGGGTCAATAACAATTTTAGTGTAAATACTTGATGAGTTAAAAACATTTTTCATATGTTGAGTGGGTATGTAGTGAAAGTGAGTTTAGATAGTGGTACACGAATACTTCCCGGCGTTTCATACCCATCCTTGTATTAAAATGTTTGTAATTTAATGTGTATTTGTCCTAAAATTGTTATTAATTGATTAAAATTTATTGTAAAAAACGCTTTAAAAAAATCAGCTAGTTTGAAGTTTTGAAAAAAAGAATAATAATAAAAATTGTTATTTTTTATTATTAAATATAATAAATAATTTTTAAACGTAGTTTAAGAATACAATAATTATTAAAAATAAAATTTTAATTTTATCAAAAATTTTATCTGTTGTCATTTAAGTCGAGACACCATACATATATATATAATTTTTTTTTATGTTTATAAGTAAGTAATTTCATAGTAAGATGGTATCAAGTTATTTTTTTACTTTTTGTGTCATATTTGGGTGAAAATTGTGGATTAGTTTAGATTAGTATTTAAAAACCGGTCGGCGAAGTGCCTTATTCATGAACTGGTTAACTTACTTTTTATATTAACCAAATATGTTATAAAAACCTGAATTTTTAAAATGATGTAATATTATTATTTCATTCTTTGAAAATCATTATAACATTTAGTAAAAAAATTCCTAGATCAATAAAAACATATATTTTTATGGCTAATATTACTATTATTTGGAATTATTTAAAAAAATAAGTAATTACTCATAAATAACGTATTTTCATTGTTATCTTTATTTTAAAATAAATCTCAAAATATTAAAATTTTAGTTTTCATCTAAGCATTAAGAGATATTACCAGGTAATTATCTTGGAGTACTTAAAAAGACACTTGAGCTCTATAAGGTAGTTCCAATTTCATGTTCAGTAATGTTACTGATAAAGTTTTTTTCAAAATAGCGTACAATAGATTACCTAAACATTTTTAGATTCAAACATTTTAATATTATACCGAATATTATCATTTAAAAAACAAAGTTAGTCTCTTATAAGATATAAAATATAGACTTTAAAACTTAAGCAAAAAAAAATTCATAAAATTTATTTGAATGTTTAAATAAATTAGAGTTTGAGAACATCCGCAGAAATTACATTCAGCTACTAAATAAGGATTTTGATTTATGAAGTTTTTTTGTCGGAGTTTAATTTTTTATATAATTTGATTAAATAGTTATTTTATCAAACAATTAAAATTGAGTTCAATAATATGATTGTATTAAATGTTTAAAATAACTGGTATATATGATAATCAATAGAATAATCTTGAGTAATATTTAATTTTACATACATCTCAAACTGCTTTAGATATTTTAAGTTTAGTCGTAATAATTTTTATTTTTTTTTCCTTGCCTTAATCTTATCTTTATGTTTCAATTTATTACTTAATTAAATTGTTCTCCTTGTTTACATTTATGTATGAATTAAGTCGATATTATAAAATATATATGAGTTCAGTAAGTAATGAAACAGGTAATTAATATAAACAATGAGAATAGAAACCCGTATCCTTACTTATTGAACACTCTTTACAATTTAATATTGAAGTATTGACGTTAGGCCTCTGCTCTCTTCTAATGTTATGCTAGGGTATAATTATGACAATTATGTAATTTTAATTTTATTACTATTTAATAACTTTTCATGAAAATTTTCTGAATAATAAATTAGAATGTGAAATAAATTGAGTACTTACTTTTCAAATTTTCCAAATAAAATTTAATTTTACTAGTATATCTAATGTTTTCAAATTTGTTAAAATATACATTTATAAATTAATATATAAAAATACTAAAAAAAATGTTCATTCTAATTAAGTTTTCCAAATTAAAGGTTGCCAAGTGTACCTCAAAATATTATTATTTCAATTATTGTATATGTATACAATGTTTTTTTAATATAATTCTTTATAAATATTAATTTTCCTAAATTTACTTCACAAATTCAGGGTTTTATAATTAACTTATATTTTTTATATAAATTATATTTAATATTTTACATTTTTCTAACAAAATATTAATATCTTCTTTTAGTTCAATTTTTATTATTATTATTTTTTAATCCTATAAATATATATTTTTTGGCATTAAAATTTTTGTCACTATTTTTAATAAATGTACAGCAAATTCTCAATTTTCTTAATTATTACTTTCGACGTAGATATTTTTGAGTTTTTATGGTATATCAACTTTTCTCTGGGGCAGTTAAAATTTATCTTTATTTTTTCAATATTATTTATTCTTGGTTTATATTATCTATTGTTAATGACATGTTTTGTTGTAACGTATCATAAACATCAAAGATTTGCTCTCGAATTTTTTCAGCTTCTTTGATTTTAAACAATTTTTTTTTGTAATTAGTTTATAAAAATTTATTTTCTATTGCTTCTTTTTTCTTTATTACTGAATTTATTTGTTTATTGTGGTAAGTGTTCGAATTGATGTTTGTGTGCATTTTTTCTTCTATAATTTTTTTTCAAACTTATTTTTAAATTATTGACAACTTCTCCTGTAATGACAATTGCGTTTAGTTTTTCTTTATTTATAAATAGTTTAAAATAATTTAAAACGCTCATCTACTGAACAGGTATTAAATGTTTTATAATTTTATTAATTTTACAAATTTTTTAATTTTGTACTGGATGATGTTTGTTCGGATTAACTTAACAAAATTAATTATTTAATTACATACATCGGCATGTTTGTAGCCTGATATATTTTAGTGAATTAGTTTGATATTAATATTTGAATGCAACATAAATTATAAGTATTAGAAATAGATATAATAATTTATATTTGTTTTACATACGTCATCTCAATGTGAGTAATAATAACATAGATTCAAAAAAAAAATGTAAAAATAATAATTATTTTCAAATAATTATTGATTATTACAAAAATTATTAGGGTTTTAGTTAAATTTATTGTTTAATAAACTCCAATATCTTGACTTTTATCATTCGTAAATAAACGTTTTATGTGTGCTTGTTTATAAGTAAGGTATAAATAATTGTTCAAATTTAGCCTTATAACATTAAATTTTATTTTTGATATTATGTGATGATATTTTTATTTAAATGTTAAATATAATAAAATTTAATAAGTATGTCAATTTTGAGATTTAATGATAAAATAGCTAATTTACTGTTGTTCAGAAACAAAATAGAACTATAGCTAGATGGCGCTAGTATGAAACTTATTACTGCTGCCATTATATCGACCACACTAAACCATTACCGTTGTAATAGGATATTTGATTGTAATCTAAAATTGGTACTCCTTGATTTTTTAGTGTTTTGTTGACATTTCGCTCTGATTATGAAAATTGTTGATAAATGTAACTGTTAAAACAGGAATTTAGGTTTTTACTTCTAATCCATCCGAAATTCAGCGTTTGATTACCAATGGCGTCGTCTCAAGACGCTTGGTATCTTTCGCTCCTAGGGCTAGCAGAAAACTTCCGGACGTCAAATAGAATCAAAATGTGTATTCAATGTCTGCAAGCTGTGTTCAGTTTCAAGCCACCACCAAGAGTTGAAGCTAGAACTCATCTGCAATTGGGAAATATTTTATTACAATATACTAAAAATACAGATCTCGCTCGAACACACCTCGAACAAGCTGTAAGTAAAATTATAATTTATAATATTAAATAATTAAATATTATAAATGTTCATACAGTGGCTATTATCACAAGCCATCAACGCATTTGATGATGTAAAATTTGAAGCTGCTAGTGTAGTAGCTGAACTTTACCAACAACAAAATCAATCAAATTTAGCAAAGCCTATTTTAAGAAAAGCTGTTGAATTATCACAACATAACATCTACTGGCATTGTCGATTAATATTTCAATTAGCAGTAAGTTTATTATTTGTCTAACATTGTTTTAGTTGTAACTTTTAATTGTGTAATGTCATATTTTTAATTTTCAGCAAATACATGCTGTTGAAAAAGATTATGAGTTGGCAAGTAGTTTGTTAGGAGTAGGTGTTGATTATGCTCATATATCATCTGCAGCTTATACTAGAGTTCTTTTTCTACTTAGTAGATGCATGGTATGAAATACATTAATATTTATGTTCTATATTAATATTTCAAAATTAATTTAATAAGTGCTTATGTAATAATCAAATTTTTTGTTATTAGTTACTTTTAATAGATAAAAAAATTACTGAAGTTTCACCTCTACTTACTCAAGCTGGATATTTAGTTGATAACTGGCAAGCTAGTCAATATCAAAAAGAGTATCTTAAAGTCTTCTTTCTAGTTTTACAAGTAAAAAAAGAAAAAAAAATCATATTTAAAATATAGATTTCTAATATTTTTTTTAAATACAATCTCTTAAAGGTGTGTCATTATTTAATGTCAGGACAAGTTAAAAGTGTAAAACCATGCTTAAAACAACTACAACAAAGTATTTTAACAATTATGCAACCAACGTGGCCGTCTGATGAAGGTAATTATTTATTAATTAAATACATATTAGTTGATAATAGTCCCAAAATTTTAATAAAAAAAATTCAAAAGCTTAAGCACAAATGGTTCTTGTTATTATTATTTATACTTTTTACTCTATCTTTATAATCTTTAATTGTACTATTAATGTTATTCTGATATAATAAAATATTATAATTAGTTATATATAAAGGTGCATTAACACTTAATACAACTATACGATAATTTAATAATCATAATATTAAAATAAAAAGCTAGTTAAATCATTTGTTAAAAAATATATATATATATTATTTAATGCACTTTTAGATTCTTATTTAACAATTTTTTTCAAAATAATTGTCATATTAATCTAATTTAATTAACATCTGATAAAACATTTCAGTTGTATGTGGATCAAACATGGGTGATATGTTTATTTGGATGCCTAAAGAACAACTTTATGTAGTTGTATATTTAGTGACCGTGATGCATAGTATGCAAGCAGGGTACATGGATAAAGCTCAAAAATACACTGATAAAGCTTTGGCTCAAATTGAGAAACTTAAAGGTAACTTATAATTTTAGTGGATATTATATTATTATACTAATGTTATAATGTATTTATTTAGCTGGAGAAAATAAAACTCCAATTCTATCAGTATTTCAACTGATGTTATTAGAAAATATGGTCATGTGCCGTCTAGTAACAGGAAACAAATCACAAGCTTTACGTGAAATGTCTCAAGTATGCAGTATATGTCAAAAACATCCACGATTATTAACTACTCATCGCCCTCAACTTCATATGCTTATTGGACTTTATGCAATGAGCATGAACTGTATGGATGCTGCAGAAATACAATTCACAACTTCATTAAGAGTACTTATTATACAAATATAATTTTAACAATTTAAATTTAAAAAGAAAAACTTATTATTAGTATCTTGATATCTTACAATTGTAGATATACTTTTGATATAGTAAATTAATTGCTTTGTAATATTTTGTAGTTTTCTCAAGAACGTGAATTATGGACATTTGCTAATCTTAATTTAGCTATTGTTTACCTAAGAACAAAACGAGATGCAGATTTAAATGCCCTTTTAGATCGTATTAACCCTGAAACTTTGACGTCACATTCACATAGTCTTAGAGCTGCAGCGTATTATGTTCAAGGTTTACAGTCATTTTTCCAAGCACGGTATAATGAAGCTAAGTAAGTGAATTAATTTAGTAATTTTTTTCAATTAATAGCTAAATAATTATATGATCATATTAAAATATATGGTATAAAGTCTGATATGAAGTTTCATAACTTCATAAATATTACTAAAGTTTTTAATTCATATTAATGCAAGAGGGTGTATCATGATGTTAATTTTAAGGTAATTGAATTAAAGTACTTTAAAATTTTTCTACCATTTATACTAAATTCATGTCAATATTAATTGATAGTGCTTACATATTTTTATAGAGTAATAATTGCTATTCAAAATGTCGAAAATCATAATTTTTAAAACATTTTATCCTTTTAAACTAACAGTAAAAAAGATATTGAGGTGAAAATGAAATCAAGACTTTCAAAAATTTAGATTTTTGTATTTTTTACAAAAAATATAAAAAAATAAATATAAGAATTTTTCATAGAAAAGTTGGTTATTATTAAATATTCTAAAAGTTTTATTCCACTTACATCATACATTTTTTATTTTTTGTAAAAAATACAATAAATTAAAAAATTACTTCTTTATGTTTAATTTTCAACTCTCTTCAGTTACTTTTTATTGTGATCAATATTGACCAAATTTTGTAGAACCCGTATTTTTCATTTTGGAATTGTATTAAAGGATATGGTTGTTTTATTTTTAAGTCTTGATTTTATTGTCACTTTACTAGATATGTATTATTACAAGTTAACATAGTGTAAAGGTTTAAGATAAAGGTGTCTTTGTTACACTCATGCAATAGTAAGTTTTGAAAAAGTTTATATAATAATAATTTGATATGTTTATAATTTTGAAATATAAACTGTTTGGTATAATCTAATAATTTTTTTTTTAGGAGATATTTGAGAGAAACCCTAAAAATGGCAAATGCAGAAGATTTAAATCGATTGACTAGTTGTTCTTTAGTATTACTAGGTCACATTTTTTTGTCATTAGGTAACAGTAGAGAAAGTATGAATATGGTCACTCCAGCAATGCAATTAGCAAGTAAAATTCCTGATGTACATGTTCAGTTATGGGCTTCAGCTATTCTCAAAGGTATAATTTTTTTATAAATAATAATTTTATAAAAAATCGTCTTCATTTTTATTTATTTTGTTATTTAGATCTCTATAGAATGTGCAACGATCCAGTCAGAGAAAATGAAGCTCTTCAAATGCACAGTAATTTTTCTCAAACTTTATTAAAAGACCACTATCAATCATCAGAAATGCCAGAACACACTCTAATATCCTGGACAGATGGACCATTTCCAATTTCTTTGAAACCTTCTGTATCACCTCCTCAATCTCATCAACTTCAAATACAGCAACAATTACATATGCAGCAGCAAATACATATGCATCAACAATCTATGCACATGCAACAACAACAACAACATCATATTATGCAATTGCAATCAGCACAACAAAATCCTTCTTCCCTTGGACTTCCATCTTAGCAAATATTATTTATTAAATCCATGTATACCTACTACACCATCGAAATTTGCTTACAAATATTGTTATTGAAGGCTTCTAGTGAAATTTGTAGCTACATATTTACTTTTGTATTGTGTACATATCATGTAAATAGCATTTATTAAAAATTATCTTTTTCATGTTATCTTCATTAAATTGTAGATCAATAATTTTTAGTTGAAGGATTTTTTTTAATTATTATTAATGTCCTAATAATGAAAAAGTATTCATTGGAAGTTCTATGCACTTAATTTTGTATAGTAATATTATAGATTGAACTGAATCTAAAATATAATCAATTTTAACCCAATAAGTGACATAATAATTATTACAATAGTTTAGATTGACGTTTGTAATTAAGAACTGAAAAGCTTGTTTTCATTTTTGGTTTTTGTTCATAAAAAGTTTTAAATTTTTTTAAAACTTTTCCAAACATTTTTATTAAAAAAGATTTGCCTAGTAAATCCAGAAAAATATGTATGTAATTTATTTTTACAATAATTAAAGTATGTGATTTATCAATACATTTTTTATTGTTTATTTTAAATAAATTGGTGTTAAAGTTGTTATTATCATGTGTGTAAAATTCTAATTTAGAATTGTCCCTTATCATGTAATTAAAGCTTACTATTACCATAAAAAAAATATAATTTTATGAAACTGTTATTTTTTATATTTATTATTTTTAGTTTATAATTTTTATTTATTTTTTTTTTATAATTTAGACTGTAAATATAATATTATTTAAAATTGTATCAATAAAAGTTTAAATTTTTATTGATTAATATTATTTTTTCATTCTTTGTTGGTTCAGGTTTACTATTATATAGTTATACTATTTAAGATGTAATAATTTAAGTAATTTCTGGGTATAAATGTAGAGATACAAGTCGGTTTTAAAAGAACATTATCGTCCTAATATCGTAGAAGTAGATTTATATAATTTTACCCTACCAATTAATTTAAAACTATATTTTAGTTAACTTATGTAATTAGAAAATGATTATCTAGTTAATATTCTTAAAACCGCCCTTAACAACCTATATATAGAAGCCTTTCTTACAAAAAATATGATTATTCTTTGAATATAAATTATATTATAATTATAATATATTATATCATCGCCATCATGCCAAAAGTGACCAAGTGTTTTTTTGTAATTTTGAGAAAAACTAGTTTGAATGTTTAACATCTATTAAAAAATTCAAAACTTAACAAAAATTAACAAACTTGATATCAATAAAACCGAAATAATAATATACTTACCAATATGATACAAAATTTTACTAGATAGTTATTATTTAAGTTAATTAATTGTAATTTACCAACTTAACTTCAGGGTAAAAAGTGACCATATGACAATATTTCACTTGAACACTTATAATTAACCATGTAAAATGCATCTATACTCTTATAATATATTATATTATGATTAATATAGTCATTACATATTTTCCTAAAACATAAGAAAAATTAAGTTAATATTTTATTTAAATTTTTAACATAACAAACTTTATTTTTACCATCACAATTAAAATAAATATAATATTAAACTTTTTTTTTTGACATAAAAAACAATTGAACATCTTTTAAATAAAAAAAATTATAAACATTAAAATAAAACACAATATTTTTTATACCTTTACTTTAAATACTTTAAAATAAACAACATTAAGATAACAAACATAAACAAAATATTTTAGTAATTATCATAATTCTAATCAAGTACAAGAATGTTGTGTATCACAAAACTTAATTAATAATAATATTATAATACTAATGGGCAATATTTAGAATTTTAAATAAAAAGATTAAATTACTTTTATAATATTTAATTAGAAACTTTATAAAAATTATATCTTGTTGACAAGTTTTTTTTATAACTACAGTACCTTATTTTATTTTAATTAGTCTTAAAATAAATATTAATCAGACTCAGAAATTATCACTGTATCCTTTTGTTTTGAACATGTTTGAATACTTTGATACCACTCATGGAATTCTACAGGAATGGCTACAGTCTTACAAAGTTTCATGAGATCTTTTTTTTTTCAATGTTGAAATTGGTCTTGGCTTGTCATATAATTGTTTAAGGTTATCAGGATATTTTGTTGGTCTACCTCTTCCACTTACACATATACTTTTAAACTCTTCATCTGAATAGTTATATTTAAACTGTATAACACCAAGCTCAGTTTTCTCATATTTTTAAAACCTTAATTTTTAACCAATTCACTTTAATACCTTGTGTATCAGTTGATCGGTTTTTTATTATTAAACTTGCTAAACTTTTCAAGTCAAGAAAATCAGTATACTTCAATTCTTGAACTGTGTAGCTAGATCATTTTTTAATATACCTATTAAAACGAGTTAATCGACAAATATTAAGCCAGTCATGCATAGTATACACAGGAATATTTTTCTTTGTTGCCTCAATTGTGCTATACATATTCTCCACTCTCCATAAAATTATGTGTTATAACATCAATTTTTGAATGTGTGACAATGTATAAGAATAAAGATGCTATATATTGATTCCTATTTTGACCACTGCATGTATCAGAAAATAGGGAAATATTAGTTATATTTACTGGGAGCTGTTTGATCCATTTTAGTAAAGCTGTACCAATTTCTAAACTTCCCTTTGTCCGTTTACTTCATTCCATAAGAAACAAAAGGCATTATTTGGGGGTGCAGCCTCATACAAAGTTAAATTGTAAGTACATTGTTTTCTACTGTAGTAAATACTAGAGACATCAGAACTAGGTATCTGTAAACACTTTGTAAGTCAAATGTAGCACTGCAAAAATTATTGCAGTTTGAAGCTTTTTCCTTGTCAAACGTTTTAGCTGTAAACGATTCATCCCGTCTTCGAGTATGATTTTTATACTCCATTAATATTTGTTGTTTATGTCGTTTGTCTGATTTCTTAAATATTTCACATAGAAGACATTGATCTTTTTTTGGCTTATAAAAACTCAAATTATATTGGTCACAAAATATTTTTCGATATACGGTACAACAAACAAAATAATTATAATCTAATTTTTTTTCCCTACAATCCTGTATATAGATAGAGCTCATACATTTTAGATATAGACTGTGTAGAATCTAAGTATTTACGTTTAGAAGTTGCTCTACAATAGTGAGATTCCATTGTAGGAAATTTTTCAATGTGAGATTTTATTTCAGATATGGCCATATGGTCATGTGGGAAAAAATATTTTTATAGTTTTACAAAAAGTGATCAACTCGACATTGACAAAAAAGTTGTTATTTCTTCTTGCAAAAAAAAAAAAATGATCAAGTAACATAGTCAGTTTTTACTAGCTCAATTTATGCTAAAAGTCAAGTTAGTCAAAATGATGTACTAAGAGGTTCCTAAACTATTCATTATATCACTTGGACACTTATTCCACAAATTTATAGGGATGAAAAATTGAATTTAAACATGTTTTTGCACTTGGTCACTTTTGACATTATGGCGACGATATTATAATTATAATATACTATTTATAATTATTATAAATATTATAAATATATTATGAAAAAATTTATTACAAATGTTCTTTGAATATTTTTCAGAATTTGAGCAAATATTTAAAGGACTTAAAAACTTATAAAATATATTTTATTGTTTATTGACAGTTTAATTTGATATAATAATAATTTATATGTAATAAATTATTTATTATCTATTATTAAACAATATTGTTGTTAAAAAAATCCAAATTTAAAGAACTGGGCTCTACATTGTTTCTGTGTTTGTAATACGGTACAACATCCAAATTTTGAATAGGCGCTACTCCTATATGGGTTTTATTCATCTAGAGAAAACTACTATACTGATAAAATTTTATGATAGTCAATGATAAGGAATGGTTGGGTTGGGCACTATGTTGTAATAACCTTAGAATAGATAAATAAGTCGACCAACGGAATTTCTTGTTTTAACAATACGAGTATTTCCGATGTTAATTGCGAATGAACTTATCGTTTTCAAAGTAAGTCACTTTATGTAACGTTATGGTTTTAATTTTATTTGTGCAATATGTATTATTTATACTAACTAAAATTTAGTGTTTTTGATGTTGGATATTTTAGTGTATTGCACAATGTAGAACAAGTATATACTAGATGAATTTATAATTGATTTGCTATTGATTTTTTTTTTTTAGGAATTATAACTTTATAGTATTTGTTATTATTTAGTAATTACTCTAATTATGTACTTAGTTATCATTCTGTTCTGTACAAAAGTACAATTATACAGGAGATATAAAAAAACAAAGTACCTCAAATAACACTATTTTAACTAATAAACTTAAGGACGTGTTATGTATAGGCAATGTGAGCACGTGTGTACAGTGGCTAAGTTTTCGATGTATTATAAATAAATAATATGAAAATACGATGTTTAATACTACTAAACTATTATACTAGTTTATTGGTATATATACAATAATTGTGGTATTAATTAAAAATCTGATATTTTAGTTATTTTAATACTATATTTTACTATTAAAATTTGCAGATTTGCGCTGGTGGTCTCTTTGGGTAGCATAATATTGTTTTGTTAATATCGAATAAATTCAGTAATTTAGTTAAGTTTTACAAGTGTAATAAGTTTAATTTTAAGATAATTTTTCCACGCTATATTGTAAGACCAAAAACAATAAGGTTATGTGGCTTAATTAATAGATTTATAATTATTAAAATTGAATGATATTTAAAATGTCAAATTCATTTGAAGTATTTGGTATTCTAACCTGATAGTTTTCTATAAAAAAAAGTGTTTGATATTCACGTATGTCGTTCTTATTGAACATTGTCCCGTACCCATCGTTTAGTAATGCCTCATCATTGTTTCCGTTGAAGTTTTTAATTTAATTTCCTAAAATGCACCCCGGCGACCCTTTTTGTCGCCAACCGCAAAAACTCGAGACGCGATGATAAAGGCACTTCGTGTGCAACTTTTGCCTTTCCTACACTTGGCCTGTCTGCCGTCCATATTAATATTATGACGAATTCACCGCGCTTTTGTTTCTAATTCAATTATAAAAACCCTGTGCTTTCTTTTGGGTGGCACAATTGGGAAATCCCGCGCCGCCGACGCGACGTGTACATACTTGTTTTTAGGCCCGTAACACATACGTTGACACGTAATAAATATCAGTGACTTATTGTCGAGTAGTTTTTATTTCTATGTTTCCTCATCCCCAATTTGGGGTTTCGTGTAATTGTTTTACGAGAAAGGCGGCGGCGACCGACATAATTTCGGACAAGCCGTTTGGCAGTGAAACAATAATTAGCACCGAGTTGGCACGTATGACACTCCCTCGCTAG